ATGCATAAAGTACTGTATATTGATGCATATTACTTAAAATTCAAGATTACAAGTAATTATGCATAAGTACAACTTATTAAAGCTYGATGTTTGAATTCGTTTAAATAACTGCGGATAAACATAATCAAATAGAGGATGAACATCTCATTTTAAAATATAAAAAATCTAAAATATAATTGGAATAATTATCGAGTTCCAACAAAATAAATAATTATTATCATTATAAAAAAATTATATTATTAAACCAAATATAAATTACTTTGTTATTGTACATAAATTAAATTATAAAAAAAATGAATTAAAAAATTACACAAAAAATAAGAAATTTTTAATAGTTAATTTGATATTAATATCGATATATTTTTGTCAAATTTTTATGATATCTTCAAACATATATTTTATTCAAAAATAAAAACATCATCGTTTTTCCCAAAATCACATAAAGCCATATTATAACATCGACTGAGATAAAGAATAAAATTAAATATTAAAATCACGATGTATCTCGTTGCATTGCGCGAGTACGCTTCTAGTAATATCAAATAAAAAAATGAGGTTTTTACATAAGAACACATGATTAGAATTATGTAATCAAATTTGATCACTAAAATATAGAACTTGTTCATCAGTAACTTTGTAAATTCCTCCGATCCAATTTAAATAGATCGATCATAACAGGAAAGATCGTATGAGAATGAAAGTTAATGTTAGAAACGTAAGAAGGAATCTGAACCCTTGATCAACTTTAATCTCAAACATACCCATAAACCGCGTTTAATACGGGGATTGATCAGATGCATCTCGGTACATCTCATTCTAATGTACATCAAAGGGTAGTGGATTCTTTTTTACGCTTCTCACCTTAACCCTCTTTCTTATTGGAATCCAACCCTCAGACCATAACCGGAAAACCAAATTTAATTAGATTGGATCGGATCCAAAATTTCAACACCGAAATCAGAGTGGTCGGTTCGTGGATGACAATCCATAATCCAATAAAACCAAACCGATCCAATCAAATGACTGTCCATATATCATCGAACTACCATCCAATTATTAACATTCAACGAAATTATTTTTTAGTTGATATTTATACGTAGTGGTTTTTAATAAATTAAATATATATATATATATGAATAATTGTTTGAAACAGTTAATTAATTGGTTGAAAGCTGTATCAAAATATTGGATGAATTCAATCCAATTCAATAAATAACCAATAGTAATATCCAATTGATGAAACCGATCTGATTCAATCATTCATCATATTCGATTAGATTGGATGTCAATGTTAATTGGATTGGATAGGATGAGAAAATCCAACATCCCTTGGAGTATTAGATCAGATGTGAGACCAAAGGTTTTACGGGTCTCACGAAAAACCTTTGGTGTCACGTGAACCCAACACTATATATATATATATATATATATATATTAATATATATATATATATATATATATATATATAAATTGTAATAGACATAGAGATATATACAAAAAGGAATATAGGAGAAAGAGATAGATACCTGAGGAGAGAGGAAGATGAGAAAAGGCGGCCGCAGCCGGAGAGGATCGGAGGTGGAAGGTGGTGGATGGAGAGAAGATTGCCGTTTTCATCATACGATGAACGGATTAATTAAAGGGTTAATTTCTTGTTGATTGAGTCGTTTTTGGCATTTTGTTCTTGATCAGCATATGACTGTAAGAATATATGTATGCAAAAAACTGTATTTATAATGATTTTGAAGGGAAGACGACGAATAGGAGTTGGGAAAAGATGCTCACAAATGAGTACATGGTATCAGTGTATCTGCTGCTATATAATATATATTGCTGTTTTACACATGATGCCAATTGCCAACAGTTTATAATTAATTAATTAATAACTATAATTAGTAATTAGCATGACGTCTCCGATTACTTCCATCTATTATTAAAGATTTGGCTGCATGCGTTGGCCATTTGAAGAGATTTAAAGAACTCAATCTGATGTTTGCGGTTTGAAAATCTTAACCCAACCCAAACCGTATGGGTTGGTCGGGTTGATACTTTCTTTTAACCTTGAATATATTATTTCTCTACTCATAATTTTTTATTATTATTATCAACCATTTGATACAACTTATTCACAATTCTTATGTTTATCACATTCAGTTAATTTTCTCAATTTATATATATACTGAACATATATACGAATTAGTTATATAAATATGTTAATAGATTCAAAATATGTGTATATAAAGAGCACATGTGATACTATAATTTTCATATATATATATGTGTGTGTGTGTGTGTAAATTACACTATCACGTACGTTCTTCATATACATATATTAATAGAAATTCGGCAATCATATTAAATCCAAGAAATAAAAAAAAATATCGGGCTCTTCGGATTGGGTTGACTCCAAATAATAATAACCAAATATTAACTCGTGTATTTATTTTCTAAGTGATCCGTTAGTAATCATCAAGTGAAAATTTTCTGGATAATTTTTATAAATAAAATTCATTTGTTTTCTAATGCAATAAGTTACCAGCAAAATGCTGAATTTCATTTGTTCAAAGTTGGGATTGAGCTTAAATGGGAAGATCCGGAGTGTGCCAGTAGCAGAAAGCCTACCATTGACACTATCTGGTTTAAAACAGTACATATCTTTCTCCTCGTTTTGCTTGATTAGTATTTGAATATTTTTAACAGTTATGTTATTATACAATCTTTTTTAAATAAAATATTAAAAGTTAAAATCTTAAAAAAAAATGACATTCAACTCCAACAACTGCTCTGTTTTATCAATTTTTTTTATCAACTATATTATTAAAATATTCAATATATTTAATAAAATATTATTTTTCCGTCTTAAATACTTAGTTTTAACGTCTCTTATTGGTGAGAAAGAATAAAATATTATTCTTCTCTCTTAAATATGGACTTTTAAAGATTTCTCTAAATTTAAAGATTTCTACTTCTTTCTATCTCTTTAAAATCTCTATTTTTAACATGTATAACTTTTAGAGATGCATGTGTGTGTGGATTCATTGGGTAAGCAAGTAAATACATATATATATTAGAATGATATTTGCGCAATACAGCGAGATATATCTCGTTTTAATGTTTCAATTTATTTATTTTCTCTATCGATACAATACGGTTTTACGTGGTTTTAGAAAACGATAATATTTTTATTTTAAACGAAATATAAATTTGAAAAAAATATATCGATATT